TGTTTAGTTGTTGTGTTATGAAGTTATGAGTCCTTGTTATCATTATTTATGACTAATTCTGTTGGTTTGAAACGTAATTTGTACGAGCAAAAGAACCACCCATATCGACTCCCAAAGAGGTCGACCATTTGCTATAAAAAGGTCAACCGCGTCATTGAACCTCACAAAACTAAAACGGCAAATTAGGTCGACCTACCTATATAAGGTCGACTTAAAAGTGCTGATTAGGTCGACCTAATCTTATATAAGGTCGACCTAAAAGTGCAAGTTACGGTGACATGCATGTCACTGTAGCAAAGTCCAAAGTACTATATTTTATCTTTTTATTATATTGTAAACATGTTATACGGTGCACAATTTTTGCCTAAACTTTCCCGGCCAAGGGCCGGGTCTAGCGCTAGTCATTGATAAATGGGTTATAGGTATAATATGCCCCTCTATTATGACGTTTTATCAAACATGCCCCTATACTTTGACAAAATTATCAAACATGCCCTTCTGCTAAAATTCTCATTGAAAAAATTGTCAATCATGGTTGAACTGAGATTTAGACGACCCGACATCGGCTAATGGGAGGAAAAATATCAATTTTGTCCCCCGTTTTATTTCTATGGGTCTCTTCAAAGTGAAATTATTTGAATTATTTGGCTATACAAAATAACCAAAAAAATTATAAAGTGAAATTATTAGTGATATTTTAGACATTTGTGTCGCCCAAACAAAAGTTCGGCGTTGGTTAACGGTTTTTCGATGAAAATTTTAACAAAGGGCATAGGTGATAATTTTTACAAAGTACAAGTAGGGCTGCAAATGAGCTGAGTCGAGTTTTACCCCAGCTTGAGCTCGGCTCGTTAATAAACGAGTCGAGCTCGAGCTCAACTCGTTTATTAACGAGCCGAGCCGAGTCGAGTCGAGCTCGAGCTAGCTTATTTATTAAAATCTTAACTTTTATTTGGTACTTCATTTTGTATATCATGATACATATGATTTATTTTGTTAGTTAATCTCATCTTATACTTTATACTTTGTTGGTATCATATATTGTTTAGTTAATAAATTTTAACTACTCCAAATTATGTTATTTCATTGTATTGAAACAATCCATGATGCATAATTTCTTTTTAAAGTAGAAAATAAGATATATTTGCTCACATACTCAACGTGCAAAACTTTATATATGGCGAGATATATAAATTAACAACCATATGTATTAAAATCATAAGATATAGATTGCTTCGTCCATAAGTTGGTAATCGAGTAGGCTCTCTAGCCACATGTTAAGACATATCATGAGCTCTAAACGAGCCAGCTCACGAGTTTAGCTCAACAAGCCACCGAGTCGAGCTAGCTTGCGAGCTTCACGAGCTGAACAAAGGTGAGCTCGTGTTCGGCTCGTTTATTAACGAGCCGAGTTTCGAACGAGCTTTTCTCGAATCGAACGCCGAGCCGCTCGCGAGCAGCTCGGCTCATTTGCAGCCCTAAGTACAAGGGCATGTTTGATGTAAAACATAGTAAAAGAGCATGTTTGATAAATAGTTAAATACCGATCACTTCTTATGATAGGCCCTTTACATGTGAAGATCCAGTTCCCAGTCGACGCCGGCCCAATTCGCTCCTATTTTGGGCTGCGAGACTCAGATTACAGAGCTTGGAGCAGCATCCACATCAGAGTCAGACTAAACACGCCGCTACCCCAAATGCGCAGACTGCCAATAGAGCGGCAATTCAAATCGTCGAACACTAGAGCTGCGGAAAAATGAAACTGAAATCTCTCGAGCTCGTGGCGCCATCGTCACTGTAAGGATAAAAAGTCACCGCAGCCGGTTTCCGGAGCTCCAATTTTCACCATGTTTGGCACCCCATCCTCAACTCTGGCGTTCGGCACTCCATCTTCAACTCCGGCGTTCGGCACTCCGTCTTCCGCTTCGGCATTCGGAACTCCGTCCACCCCAGCCTTCGGCACTCCCTCCTCGGCATTCGGAACTCCCTCCTCCACTCCGTTGTTCGGAGCTCCGTCATCTTCGACTCCGGCGTTCGCCACTCCGTCCACCTCCTCGTTCGCCACTGGATTCGGCTCTTCTCTCTTCTCCACGCCATTTTCTGCGCAGCCTCAACAGCAGCAACAACAGCAGCAGCAGCAGTCTCTATTCCAGCAACCGAGTTCTGGCTTTGGATTCCAGTCTCAGTTCCCCGCGCAGCAGCCTACGCCGTTCCCCAATGCTCAATTGACGACTCAGATGGCCCCCGTGGCCCCGCTCCCTTTCTCCCTCGCCGATCGTGATATTCAGGTGTGGCTTCTTTCCTACCTCCGCGTTCTTCTTCTTCGCTTTCTCGTTAGCCCTACGGATCTTTGCTTGACTTCGTTTCGTTGCTGAATCCTGTGTTAATTCTTCGGAATCGATGGTAGGCAATCGTGGATGCTTATAAGGAGGAGGCTGGGAACCCTAAATATGGTTTCAAGGTATGTTAGCTTGCTCTAGTGAATGATTGGCCTGTTTTAGAGGGTTTGATACGGAAATGACAGCAATCTGAGCTATTCTCTTTGTTGTCTACTCTTTTCAGTATTTGCTGTTTAGTGTTACGGATCCACAGCTTAGAATCAAGCCTACCACTGTATCAGATGTGAGTTTAACTTAATGGTTAATTTGATTGCTTCTCTCTTAATTCTGGCGTTGCCTATTTGCTCTAGAGTTTGTTCTTCTGCGTGTATGTGCTAAGTTGGGAAATAGTTTGCATTGGTCAGATTATGTGGGCAGAGGCTATGGGGAAGTTAGAAGGGATGGAGAGTAGAGACCGGGAACGTCTATGGCCTCAACTTGCTCAAGGTTTCAAAGATCTGTCAACCCGCCTCAAGGTGAGTTATACTGGTTCGGTGCATTCATTGTGGTGTTATATCAAAGCATTTTCCAAATTCTAAGCCACTTCTGGGATATTGCCATATGCAAAGGTGATTGTGACTGAGATTCCATCGCATTGAGTTTCCATTTAGTGTCCGTTCCGAAAGAATTCGAATATTGACCTTGTAGCTGATATTCATAAATCTCAAGTTCATTTGTGAATGTAAAATGGTTTGATAGTTTAAAAAGAAATTAATTAGTTAGTACATCTTAGTTATGCACTTTGTTGACTCTGAGATGCGATTTATGCAGCTTCAAGATGAAGTCATTGTTTCAGATTCTGAGAGATTGCGGACGACCCAAAGCAATGTGAAAACGGTACTACTCATCTGTATTCTCAGTTTATTCTGGTTAGAAACTCCTTTAGTGTAATTGCTCCGTGCAGTTTGGAAAACTTTCTTGCTGGTTAGCTAGGACTTCCTGTTGATTCCCTAACTGTAATTGATTGAACATCCTTGTGTTCCTTTGTTGATAGCTTTTTTTATTTTTTATTTAAAGAGAATTTCTCTGAAACCGGAAATTGTTGCTTGCAGCTTCAACGACATATTCAAGCAGAGACTCTTCCATGGATTGATAGGCTGAGACAAAAGGAGCAAAGTATTCAGAGACGTCTTCTAAGGGTATTTTTTCCCTATATGCGTCACATTTGAAATATCTACTGAATATGGTAGAATTACTCTCTAGTTTGCTGAGTGCAAAATAGTCATCAGTCGCTGAAAGCTTGATGTGAATACCACTTCTGTTGATATGGCTTTGCTGGATAGACTGGATGTTTATGGGCATGGTCCAGGATCAGACTAAACCGATTTTAGGACTTGGTAAAAAAGTGAAGGAAAGAGAGCTGGATCAAAAGTGCCTTTGATCCAATTCGTTTAGGTCCTGCCCAGATTTGGTCCATCTTTCCTCTGTATTTTAGGAGATTCAATGGGGCCAAGACCAAAATGGCTTTGAATTTGAAAATTGAAACTGAATTGAAGCTACTTCCACTCTGTTTGATCTGATCGAAATGTGGATTTGGTCCAGTAGGATCGAATCATAGTCAACCGCTTCACATACCTATTCCTGTTTAGGATCAGTTTGAAGTTTGCGCTTTTGTCATGGCATATAATCATAGTTAAATTCATTCTCACATTAGCTTTTTCTCTTGCATTTGCCAGACAATGCGGATACTTGAAGCTTTGGAGAGCAAGGGTTGTCGATTGCCACTAACGAAAGGGGAAGCTGAGTTGGCAGAGAAGCTAGCTTCTACAATTAGACAGGTATATTTACTGTCTCATGTTCTCGTCGTATTATTTCACCAAATATGAGAATTGCCAATAAGAACTTGCAATCTCAGCTGAAAGGTCCTGGAGCAGAACTCGGCAGGAGGATCCAGAGCCTACTCACCATCTCCCGTGTGCAAGCAAATGGGATTGGTCCAGGAGTTTCTACTTATCTCCCTGGCTCAACCAAGATTGACGAGCAAAGTCTAGTCGATATGCAAGAAGTAAGTGACGGAATCAGGTGTTGTGATCTCATCATCTCGCTATAAACACACATTTAATCCAGTCCCTGTCGGGCACAATTGCTTTGAAATTTGCACAGGTCTTACAACAGCAGACAGAGGCTATCGGAAGGCTTGGGAATGTGCTGAAGCGAGACATCAGGGACATCGAAATTATGATGGCCGAGGACACTGATATGGGGGATGGTTAAGCGCAGACCAAGACCAAGGGAGTTGAAGATGACAATACGATTGTTGTTTTGCTGCTACTTCATCAATTGACGTCTTTCACTCTTCCCAACGTTAAAAACCATTTGGCAGAGGTTTGAAGATCGCATATTTCTTTTATGTGCAAACATCTTTGGTATGAAATGTATTCTAAAATAATTTACGTAGAGTGAACGAGTACAACTTCCGATTGTTAGTTAGCCCCTGGTTTGGCTAAACTCGGCTTCATTGGAGCGACGCATTTGAAGTGGGATGGAAATCAAAAGAGAACCACAGGGTTAACATCCCAAATCTGGTGCTTCCAGACCATTTCACAATGGTTAACATCCGTTTCTGTTATCATGACTGCAAGTCTAGACACTGTAAAAAAGCTTAAGTGCTTAACCCTTGATGTTTACCTAAGAAGCATAATGTGATGAATTGTGAGCATGACTACTGGACGAGATTGTATGTGAACTTTGATGATGAAAATTGTCTTCACAATCTGATGAGATCTTTCACTGTAAATCTTAACCCCAAGGGCCAAGGGGTTAATGTGGGGAGTGGATATCATGTGATCCATCACCACCCTCTAACCAAGAATCCTGGGGCAATCTACCCTCGGCGGAATGAGTCAAAATCGCTCAAAATCTGCTGCTCTGAGATCCGTCTACAATGAGACTAAACTGAACACTGAACACAAGAATGTAAATCTTCAGTACTTCAAGTATAGGCTTCTCCCATGATTAGAAGCACGAGTGCGGTCCAGCCGGTAAAGAGACGAGCACCTTTCCCTTTACCCTTCCTCTGATCATATTGTTCCCACAAAAACCCAGTTTGGTTGTAGTTTTGAACTACATTTCTGCATAAAGAAACACATGCCACAGAAAATCACGCTCGAATAAGAACCAAGTAGCGGGCTGCATTATATCACCAGGAGGCGGCTATTGCGGAAACTCGAACTAGGTGTTCTGTGGAAGAGGCATACCTTATCAAGTTACTTCTCAAGTCACTGTATATCTGCTTTGCTCTTTCTCTGTATGGTCCATCCACTGCAAGAAACCAATTGGAAGCATGAGAATGTAAACTAGAAAAATCCATGCAGTTTCGGAAGCAAAGAACCATTCATTTTTACCTTGGGAGTAGTGGTGTAGCGCAGAAAGGACCAAGTAATTCATGTTCATCCAGATAGGCCCTCTCCAGTATGGAGGGTCATGCTCTGTATTGCGTTTCATGTATACTGAGCTGCGGTCATTCAATAACAACATTCTTTCAAGATTAGTTGAATTCAACCAAACATGGAAATGGAATGCTTTTAAGTCATTACAAACCTTGTTTTGGCAAGAGAACGGAGTCCATAGTTCGTCCACAGAATGCTACCATTCGAAATGAGGTCGAGCTGTTTTTCAAGAATCCATGAATCCTGGTTGAAGTTCAGTACCCTCATGTTTAAGTTCATGGAGATTTCCCAAATTATGCAAGGAGGAAATGATGAAAGTTAGGATTTCCTAGGCAACTTACAGGTGGAATGATATTCCCCATGAATGGAAATAAGCTAACGTAGCCAATGTGGGGGACAAGCCTCAATTTTGGCCTTTCTAATGCTTCCCGGACAAGTTCTCGTTTCAGATGGTGGTTTTCCCCTCTTACCTCTTTCCAACTCAAACGAACCTGGTATGTTTAGGAAAGCTTCAGTATTGCTGAGAACATTTCATAAGTGAAACAATTTAAACAGAAGTAAAGGGCACACCTGTTCTGTATGATTTCCGAAATCGAAATAAGCTCCACTGGTTGGGTCGAGGTGCATCTGATAGATGGGAACGTGAAGTTAAAATCCCGCAAAACATTCCGATTTTACTATTCTAGAGGGGCAAACCTTGTCAGTTCTTCAGAAACTATGATTTTCATAGTAAAATCTTACTATCTTTAAGTAAAACATCATTATTTTTCCCTTGCTGAGAAGTAACTTTTTAATCTGTGGTTATTTTCAAAATCTACTACTTTCATACAGTTCTTTTTGATTGTGCATAGTCTCGGTTTTGGCAACTACTGGCACTAAATCAAGTTATCTCATATGGACAACGAGAATGTTAAAGCCTGATCAGCTATTGAAGGATTGAGGTACAGTTGACCAACCTCGTTCAGCAACTCAAAATCCGAAAGTAGTTTCACTGTTGAAGCATATTCCTGCATTGTTTCCAAATGATTTCAAGGCTAGATCTTTCTAATGCATATCCACATAACAAATCAAACAGAATTTTATAAGATTAGTTAGCTAACCTTCCCAGGGATGTCTCCATTCTCGAAGAACTTTGAAATGGATTGCATGCAGTTTGCAGCGAGAAGCATCCAGCATCTGAGATCCACGTGACGTTCATCTTCGTTTGGATGAGAAGCACGAGGATAGTCATCCAATCCTGAAGAAAGAGTCTGACATTGCAGATACCTAAAATATAAGCACTACCCAGGACATCATATTGTCTCAAAAAATTCCGATCAGTAAAGAGGTTGGAGCAAAGAGGACCTTTGGATTCAGCTCACGAGTTGTCTTGTTATCTCTACCGTGCCAATAGTAGCTGCCCTTCTGCTTTCCTGCTTTCAAGTATAATTGTCAAAATCTTTTAAGTTATGTAAAATAAGAAAGTGTTGTAAATTCATAATTATAAGGGAACATCAAGTTTGGGAACCTGATTGTGTAATATTAAACCACTGTAACCAAGCTTCAAGACGAATAAAAGCCCGCTCCAGGAAGGAAGTAACGTCTCTGCTTTCCACATCCGTGAAGATGTTCCTCTCTATACCGTTAAGCAGATCTAACAAACCAAAGTTCCAAAACTGCATTTCAGAATTCAGCTTATGCTTAACTCTAGTGAAATTAGAGTGAAATATTGCGAAGTAGTTTTACAAACACAACCATGCATTAATACATTATAGTATTGCTGGTGGAAATAAGTTTACCACGAATAACCAAAAAGAGAGTCGGAGGATTTCCATTGCTTGGATACTGAGGAATGAATTCTTCTGGAACCTTACTGCAGTAATAGTAGAGACAACCCACACCATTTCCCTCAACCGTAATATGACAAACTGAAATACTGAAGTAAGTAGTTTTCCCCCAGTAATTTTGAGGGTTTGCCAGCTCAAATGACCTTGTTGTGGTACTTACCTACGAGCTTCAGAACCAAGGATTTGCTCACGAGGGATCCAACCGTCGATATTCATCAAGTCTAACCAGTGGCCAACAATATCCAATGATATACGGAGATCCCAGCGCCTGTTCACAGCAGTTAACATAGATATTCAGCAGGGCTATTGCCTACTTAATTTATCTGCTAAAGCCTAAATGTTACAGTGAACTTGCATCGAGAAAGAAATATATGGTGGAGAGCATAGACAGCTGACCAGATGAGTAATTGATGAAAACCTTCATCCCAAAGAAAACCTCTAGGGAAGAAGGGCCGACTAGGGACAGCTGTATACAGCTCAGCAGGCCAATATGCAATATAATTGTCATGACCTTCATACTGCAAGTATAAAGAGCCGACTGCATGACTTGTCAGATAGACATATTGAGTTCAAGTGCACATAATTAGCACTGCCGCTAGTAATTGCAAAGGGACTATTTTGAATTCGCAAGATACACTTAAGAACTAAAAGCTGCCTGTATGATTTACCAATATAAGTAAACATCATGCTTAAATTATATTGAGTTGCATAGGACTTACATGAGGATATGCAATCTTCGATTGTCCATAAAAGTAGCCAATGCCTCCCAACATATTGGCTATAGCAGCCTTACCAACCACAGCGGAATCAGATTCCAGCTGAACAAACAACGATCAATATCAGGCTCTGCCATTCTAATATTACTTGTATATGCAATTACTGTTGGCCCCAATACTATGTTGATATCAAAGCCAGGTGTGCAGAGAAATAGTTTATCTGTTATCTTGTTCTATTCAGCTGAAAATTATATATAACACCAAATGGTCGGGCATGAATGATCAATACCTTGTGGGCTCCATTAAAGAGCTGCTCAAACTTCGAGTCAAATTCTGCTTGCTTCTGCTGTAGCTGAGTGCTCAATGAAGCACCTGAAAAATATTAACATAATATCCTAGGTTACTGAACTAATGAAGTAGAACATGTATACTGACTGATGCTGAGGATAAGCAGAAGACCTTGAAGGCTGCTCAATCTTTGTTCTGAGCTTGAACCTTTCCCCTCAGTTCCAGACACAAAGGTAATATCCATCCTGAATGGAATCTTTGCAGCCACCTATACACAAGTAGAGAGATATTTAGGATATTTTCTACATTTAGCTAGGAAATAACATGGAGTATGCACGTTACACGGGGGGCAATTTCATATACCTGGAAAACTAATATGTTCGCGGAATTTTCAGATGAATCAGGCAGCTGCAGTCGGCCAAAATTCCTCACCTGGCCACAAATAATCAAAAGAAGCAAATCCCTTTGGTGATTGAATATTGATCAACGCTTAGCCATTTAAAGCCAAGAACAAATGTGGAAATCAAAATACCTGCTCACTAAGATCTTGCAGAATAAGATCGGATAAATTGTGAATGTAAGAGGTCCTGAAACCAGAATAGTGAACCTCCAAATTTTCCTTTAAAACAATCAAGTAGGCACCAAATTCAGACCAGCAATCCAATTTCAATAACCACTAATGACTAGACGAATTAAGGTACACTGTAGCAAATTCCCAAAGCACAACAACCATAAAGTATTATATAGAGCTCGAGACTCAAACTTAATTGAGAATCATATCTCATCCTACAAACAGTACTATACACCTGACTTGCTACCTTACCTTCGAATTTAAATGCACCTGCCATTCTCCAACGTCTGCTCTTGAACCTGATACCAGAAGAGAATCCACATTATTTTCATCGGCATGACTGTTCGGACTCAGAGCATTCCCACTCTCATCAGCGAGATAGAAAAACATATGACCGGTTTTCAGCAATTCGTTACTTGGTCCGGATCTGTAAGTTAGGAAAGAGAGCTTCAGCTAACATAAGCAGGATTGAATCCATTACTTTCTTATCAGTGAAGCGCTTACTTCTCATGCTGTACATCAATCTGAACAGCCCAATCTCCACCATAACCACTGCCTTGACTCCTGGACTTCAAGAAACTAGTCTCCAGCTTCAATTCCTGATCAACCAGCTCTTGCTTCCCAAAATCACGACCATTATGAGCAATCCAGCCATATTTGCTCAACTCGTCGGAGTCCTGGCAAACATGCCGCATATGGTACCTCCCATCTTTCACTCCTAGCCACATCAGACCAGCAACCAAAGACCGAGGCGCCCTGCATTTTGCAAACAGTTACCAAAATCCCAAAACTAATTCATTGGCAAAACCATCTACAAAACAGAAACTAGTATCGACATCTCTTCGCAAAGTGAAGATGTATTTGGACACACAATTTTTACAGTTGATGCTGTAGCGCAGAAATGGGTGTATTGCTAATATGGATGCATTGAGCACAACTATATGAAAGCTTTTGGAGATAGAGAGATTTCAAGGATTCCACAATCTCTCCTTCATACGAGATATTTCTCACCTAGCTCGAACTCCGAAATAAACTTGAGGACGATAAGTTCCCCAGTACAAGCTCTCCTTATGCTCCCCTTGAAACTGAAAATGCACAGTCAGAACGAAAAGGATTGATGATCAAAATTCCCTTCGAATTCAATTGACTTGCAGCAATCCAAAATATGAACTGTTTGCTTTCCACCTGATCGAGCTCCATGAGCTTGGGAGAAGGGAATGGAGTAACAACCCTAGGTCTCTGATGAGACTCTTCAACAGGAGCAATCAGACTCTGAATCAAGAAGAAGATGGCGAGAAAAGCTACTAAGCCAATGGCGAGTATGACTCTCAAGTCAACGTTGAGAATCCGAATCAAGCTCCCGTCTCTCCGATGATCCATGCGTGATTTCGAGCTCGGTCTGGAGCTGGTACGAGAAACGTCGCTGACATCAATGCTGTCTGCGACGGCTAATTTGCCTTTGCTTCGCACCGTCCGCCGCCCGGTTCCTGTCATCTTTCAGGCCGGGAAATCCAGACGATTAGGTCCGTTTGTCTACTGCATTTGAGTGATCGAGCTCTCAAAGTTTAGCGAATTCTACTTGCAGACTGTGGCAGAGAGTTGGAGAGTACAAGGCCAGTGGTAAAGGAAATGTTGGTAATTACTGATTAGCTCCACAAACTTTTGCAGTTAGTATTAAACAGTCATCATTTTTTAATGGGTTAATTGCATTTTGTACCCTCTACTTTGACAAATTAACAAACGTACCCCTCTACTAAATTTTTGCACGAACATACCCTTCTAGTATTAAAACGTAACAATTTTACCCTTCCATCTATTTTTCCGTTAAGTTACCATTAAATGAGCTGAGAAATGATATAATTACCCTTCATTTACTCCTAATTTCTGTTTTAGTTTAATTATTTTATCATATATGTCAAAAATGAATTAATTAGAAATACAAACCCCTAACTAATTCAAAAGCACCCAGTGACCGTGCATCTCCCTAACTCCCCTGGCCATCAGTCCTGCGATCAACAACGACGCCTGCTCCCATATCTCCTCCCACGAGTTCTGGCACCAGCTTCCTCGTCGATTTATCTACTCGGCTGCCACACCTCTACTCATCTTCTCCCGTCGACGCCAACTGCCCCATCATTCCGCCTCCATCCGTTTCTTGCCGAATAAGGTACGGTCTCCTTCTTATATACGAGTTGTACCTGTACGCATGGAACTTTGAACAATATAATGAAAATTTTGTTTATTCCCTTATGATCATCAGAGATCAGGTTTACTTCACATCAAAATTGTAGGACTTTTTCCAGAAATACCACTGTTTAAAAAAAGAATTCCAAAAATACCATCTTTTTCAAAAATCGACACCCCACCCTGCGGTTTACACGAAAACCGTTGGGCGGGGCCGCGGTTTTCTATGCAAACCGCGGGGCTAAGGGGCGGTTATAAATTTTTTTTTTGACCAAACCGCTGGTTTGCGGTTTGGTCCAATTTTTTTTTCCGATCAACTCCTAACTTCGGCCGAAACTTCAAATGAACGTAACTTTGCACTCGGGTATCCGATCGTAGCGATTTGTTTTTCATTCCGCATAACTTTTCAAGATCTACAACTTTTACTAGGATGAAATTTTCAGAACAAGAATTAGTTGTGGATATACGGGACCTTGAGAATAACTTTACCTTTACTTTTCACAAATCCATGTACATTTTGAAATTATTATTATCTTAAAAGTTGTAGATCTTGAAAAGGTATGCGGAATAAAAAAAAATTCATGACGTTCGGATTTTGGAGCACAAAGTTATGACCGCCCAAAGTTTGACGAAAGGCGAGACCCGGTGGTTTGCGGCTTGCAAGATCTCAAAAAGTTTGCGGCCACCATTTTTTGAATGCGAATAACTTTTTGAGATCTTGCAAGCCGCAAACCGCCGTGTGGGGTGGTGCTTTTTGAAAAAAGGGTGGTATTTTTGGAATTTTTTGGGGTTGGGTGGTATTTTTGGAATTCTTTTTTTAAACAGTGGTACATTTGGATTTTTTCCAAAATTGTACTGTACGCTTGGAACTTTAATCAATAAAGTGAAACTTTTGGTTGTTCCCTTTTGATCGTCAGAGACAAGGGTCATTGTCCTATTAATTCCATTAATTGTCTTATTATATTGTAGGGACAGGTCAAAGAAGCAGTCTATCTACTTGGCAAGGATTTTTTGTGACCACATCTTTTGATTTTGTTGCAGCAATCATGACTACCGATGGTTCAAATGTTAGTACAACTGCTGCAATTGACAGTGCACCTGTTGAAATTGAAGATATAGCTGTTGTAAATGATAACGATGCAAGTGATATTGATGATGAAAATGATGAAAAAGGTGAAGAAGAGAAGGGTGACTCCGATAGTGAGTTTGAGTTGAACCCGAATTGGGTTAGTGATGAGGATGTTGCGGATAGGGAATCTATAATTTCAAAGGTTCAGAAGGCAAAAGAGAAGTTGCATATGGGGATTCCCATTACTTATCACTCTGATGACGAGATTGATAGGAGACAGGACCAAACTGGTGGGCACGAGGGTTTCAACTCCAGTGATGATGGGAGCTATGATGGAACTGATGAGGATGATGAAGTTGCTGATCATGCAATACGTAGAAAAAGTTTATTTACCAGGTTCGATCCTAGCTTGGATACACCATTCTTTGAACTTGGTATGGTTTTCAGTAGCATGAATGAGGCTAAGGAGGCAATCAAGAAATATTCATTGACTGCCTGAAAAGGTATCAAGGTGAAGCAAAGTGACCAGACGAGGCTTAGAGTGGTTTGTAGGTATAAGGGTTGTCCATTGGTGATGCTCGTTTCATGGTGTAAAAGGGTTGTTGCCTTTTGCATTAAGACACTTAAGTTGCATAGATGTGGGCTGCATTTCAAAAACAAATATTGCAGTCCAGCAGTGATTGCAAAGAAGTATCATAGGAGGATTAGAGCACATCCACAGTGGAGGCTTAAGGACATTAGGGAGACCATTAAAGAAGAGATGGTGTACGATGTGAATAGGATGACTTGTTCGCGTGCTACGAAAATCGTAATGCATTTGACTCAAGGATGCTACAAGGATGAGTATGCACTTCTGTGGACTTATGCCGAAGAGTTGAGGAGAACTAACCCGGACACAACTCTCCGTATCATGGTTAATCGAGACAATCTTGAAGGGAAGCCGAAGTTCCAGCGAATGTATATATGTTTTTGGTGCTATGACAAAGGGTTTCTTAGCTGGCTGCAGGAAGATCATAGCATTAGATGGATGCTTTCTTAAAGTTTTATGCAAAGGAGAATTACTTGTTGCTGTTGGGAGGGACGCAAATGATCAAATGTACCCTGTTGCATGGGCAGTGGTTGAAGTTGAGTCGAGAAGTTCATGGGATTGGTTTCTGAACGAGTTGAGAGATGATTTAAGCATCAAGGAAGGGGCTATTTGGGCTTTTAGTTCAGACCAAATGAAGGTAATTTACTTGTTTTTTTTTTGCAAATATAAGCAAGTAAAAGAAATGGATCAGCAAGCTAAGATCATACACACGAGGTTGAACTTGATGACATGTAAAACTTGACATGTCGAAAAGTTACTGTTGGGTTTAGCTTAATTGTCCATTTATGTTTTTCATTTTTTCCATTCGTGCTTTTCATGTTGGCTACTGTTGACTTTAGCTTAATTGTCCATTCATGTTTACTTTATCTTAATCGTCCATTCATACTTTCCATCTTGGCTACTGTTGGCTTTAGCTTAATTGTTCACTCGTGCTTTTCATGTTGATTATTTATGAAATTTATGCTTTAGGGTCTTGTTCCGGCAATAGCCGAATTCTTCCCATATGCTGAACACCGGCTATGTGCAGGACATATATACAGTAATTGGAGGAAGAAGTTCAGGAATCGAGATTGGCAGAAGATGTTTTGGGCATGTGCAAAAGTGAAGAATCCAATTTCATTTGACAGAGCATGGCAAAGATTAGCTGCTGAAAATGAAGATGTTGCAACTGCATTGCTGTTAATTGATCCAAAACACTGGTGTCGATCATACTTCTCAACAGAGGTAAAATGCAATACAGTTGACAACAACATGTCTGAATCATTCAATGCCTCCATCTTAGAAGCTAGATACAAGGCCATCTTCAGCATGTTAGATGATCTTCGTGTTATGGTTTTAGAAATGGTTGCCACGAAGATGGCATTGGGGAATAGGTGGAATGACTTATATTTCCCAAAGATATTGAAGAAGTTTAATAAGAATGTTGCAGAAAGTGACTTTTGCCACATACTGTCAAATGGACAACATGGTTATGAGTTGAGGCATCTCGATGAAAGATTCACTGTGCAGCTTCTTCAACATGTGTGCTCTTGCAGAGCATGGGAATTGTCTGGTATCCCTTGCCCTCATGCTATAGCTTGTTTGGTCTATGAAGATAAAGATCCTGTCATGTATATTTCGGATTGTTTCTCCATTCAAAACTTCCGGAATACTTATCAGCATGTCTTGCAACCAATGGATGGTCCAAAATTATGGATTCGAAGTGAATATGAAGCCATACTTCCTCCAGATTTTAGAGTGCTGCCTGGGAGACCAAAGAAGAAGAGAGTGAGGAGTTCTGAAGAGAAAGAAGATCGACAAAGGCAGAAGAAGAAAAGAGTCTACATTGCTGAAGAGTTGATGGCATCCGACAAGAACGATCCTTCCAAACTACGGAGGACCGGAAGGGTTATTACCTGCAAACGATGCAAGCAAGAGGGACACAACTCACGAAGTTGTAAAGCTGAGATTCCATCTAAGGTACACACTTAATTTTCAACTTATCAGTTTTAATTCGCTTTCCTTTCCATAGTTGTCTAATTAAATCCTTCTTAGGGAGTTGGTCACTCAAGTCAGATACAAGACCAAACTGAAAGTGGCGAGACTAGTAGCCGACAGGAGAGAAGACTGCCAAAGAAGAAGAATAAACCCTTTGTAGGGGTGGGTGTGCACCACAGTCTAAGCGGTTTCATAGTCATGGATGTAAGTCCTATAAAAGTCACCTCTAACTCTGCAATTCAGACCTTTTAAGTCATTCAATAGCTAAATGATTTGTTTTCATTGTTGTTCTATAGCCGGGCTTGAAAAGCAGAGGGGTCATATAAGTCCCTCGATCACAAACAAACAACCAAGCTGGAGTTGGTGCAAGGCTTGACAAAGAAGGAGGAAGTGGACATGGTGACACCCAAGAGAGCACAATTACAGTTTAATACTTTTGTTTGAATGCAGAAGTTGATAGCAGAAAGTAACTATAGAACTGTATTTTGGTATTATGCATCAATTGGGTGGTTTCTGAGTTTAGTTTTGAAAGTAGTAGTTGACAGCAGAAGTAACTATGGAACTGTAGTTTGGTATTATGCATCAACCAGTTGGTTTATGAGTTTCATTTTGAATGTAGTATTTGACAACAGAAAGTAACTATGGAACTGCAGTTTGGTATTATATTATGCATCAACCGGCTGGTTTCTTAGTTTTGTTTTGAATGTAGTAGTTGACAGCAGCATACAAAGTTATTTGGTCTTTCTTGAGTAGCAACAAACAAGTGGTCTTGGCTTACTGTCAAAAGGGATCTGCATATGAAGGGATTTGCAGATTATGTGATTCCAATACCTACAATCAATATATATTCCATCCAATTCAAATACTAGCTGCAACCACACACTGAAAATCAAGCCAATTACAACCAACAAAGAACAACAATATGATTCGACATTTGAAACTTCCCCATCGAGGCAAATAGGAAGACATGATTTGAGTTTTGGGGGATTTCTCTATCGACTGACTAGACAAAGTAAGAAGAAGGTGTGGACATGGTTGCTGATCGCTGAAGGATCTGACGAATGGAGAAGAAAGAGGTCGAGATGTCGCGTCGAAGCAGAGGACGCACAATTGCTATCCGTTTGCTAGAGGAACTGACGAAGGGAGAAGATCCTGCGGATTTCGCGACGGTGAAGGAGGGGAAGAGTCGCTCCAGAATCCCTCATGCGCTCTGGAAGCTTGATCCAACCGCCGTCGAGCGATCGATGTCGGGGTTGATTCACGCCGGAGTTCCTTGTTCAGGGGTCGGGGGCTTTGCGTAGGCGGAGGACTCTGTACGATGCAAATTTTACAAACAAACACTTGGGTTAGAGAAATAAATAAATAATCACTTTTGCTAGGGAAATAAAATATACAGAATAAATATTAAGAGTGTTTTATTGGTAAATGATGGGTAATTGTGTCATTTCTCGGCTCATTTAACAGTAACTTAACGGAAAAATAGATGGAAGGGTAAAATTGTTACGTTTTAATACTAGAAGGGTATGTTCGTGCAAAAATTTAGTAGAGGGGCACATTTGTTAATTCGTCAAAGTAGAGGGGTACAAAATGCTATTAACCCTTCTTTAATTTGTAATAATTTGATAATAAAACTTTGCACTTAAAACATAACGGTTACAATTTAAATAAAGTGACAATTTTATACAACTTCAAACTTTACACACTACAAATTTGATGACCTAAAACTCGTGTTTAAACCTTTGTATAGACCAAAAGAAACAAAAACTAATAAAAAAACCCGAAAAGAAAAAGAATCATAAACACAGAAGGTAAGTTTAACTCGTTAGTGGCTATTCCACGGTTTGTCTTCCTGTTCCAATGTCGTGGAATTGATGTCCTTGGTCGGGGAACTCTTCAACCCAAATCTCATGTCCGTCCTTCTATTCCACGGTCATAGAATTGACTCCCTAACCGTGGATTTTGACTGGTCACCATACGATCTTCAGGCTGCTCGTTTGGTGTCCAAAAAGCTTCGATCTTCTCATCCAATGCCTTTCTGATCTTTCACAATACTTGTACTCTCACCTCCAACGCCCAACTTCCATCGAATAGCTCCTAATATGAATGAGTAAGCTTCCAAAGTAAGTACCTTGAAGTTGTTTCCGCACTTAGCCATGTTCATCTCGTCATTCCTCCACGAATTAATCACAATTTTGAATGCTTGGGAATTGACATTCTTGATGGATATCTTGCTTACATCAGTCCCTCCTCGTTGGAAAAGCTTCGCGCTCAAAGCTTGTGGGCTTCTGCAAGAAAAATCATCATCACAATACTCATAAAAAGGATCGAGATAAATCGTCTGCTCCTTTCCAATCGTGATCATCTGTAGAAATCGTCATCTTCCTTCTGCGTTTCTGGAGTGCTTGGTTCTGGAGAAACCACTTTGTTGTCTTCAAGGAACTCGCCAAAATCAGTAGCTTCTTTTGACTCGTCCTTTATAGGGATGGCAATGGGTCGGTTTTTGTCAAACCCATGGGTTTATCCGTGAAAAAACCCGGGGTACAATCTAGTGGGTTTGAAAAACTCAAACCCAACCCACCCGCTGGGTATCCGTGGGTTCATGGGTACCCACGGGTTTTTGTCGTATAAAATTTACAATAACAAGTTCCTATCAAAATTAAAGTCAAATATCAATCTCTCAATACAAATTATCCATATATAAAACACCATTCTAGAAAATTCAAGCAAATCACAAATTAATTATACAAATTGTTCAACACCAATCTAAAAAACTCAAGAAAATTGAAGCAAATCAAATTATCCATAAATAACATGATTAATTGAAAGCTTCTTCCTTTCAATTAAGTTTCTTCACTCTCCACTCGATAACATCAACTTCATTCTACACAATTAGAAAGAAAATTAGACATGTCTCCGCAAACATAAATATGATTAGTTGTTTAGAATATTAAATATACCGAGAAAATTAATTATATGAGTGTGGGCAAGTACCCATGGGTCGGGTTTACCCAAACCCAACCCGGTGAATAGTGAATGTGTTTAAACCCAAACCCAGCCCAAAACCCGTCAACACAGATTTTACCCGCGTTGACCGGGTTGGGTAGGGTGGGCAGTGGCGGACCCAGAAATTTTTTATAGGGGTGTCATCTTTTAAAAATAAATTAAATAAAAATAATTAATAATTAATAATTAATAAAAATAAAATTGTTAATTTGAAAATACCTTACTTGTACAGGTTAAAAAAGGTTTATATTCGAAAATAATTGTAGAATACACTTGGTGACTATAGTGTTAAAAAAAATTGTCTCTATATACCCTACTAGACAATCATTCACGAACTTATCGCATATTCGATTTGTAAACTTGTTCTCGATGTAACCCAAAGCTGAAAGACTCTTTCAACACTTGTTGTATTAAGGGTAGCTTGAAATTAGTTTAATTGTTAGGTTTTTAAAATAATTAGAGATAAGAAATGACATTTTACTATTACATTTTTCAAAATTAAACAACAAATGAGTTGTAGGTCAGCGAAAATTAAGTTTATTAATAAGAATAGTGTTCTCGATTTGAATTACCCAATCTACCACTTATATTCCTATACACAAACACAAATGACAGTAGGATAATCATGTTTTCAAATTTCAGCGGTGTCCCTCACTATCAATTTTTTTTTTGTCCATACGTAAATAACCACCGGGAATTGGATAATCGTGTTTGCAAAATTTAGGGGTGTCCGGGGACACCCCTGGAACCCCCTGGGTCCGCCCCTGAGGGTGGGTACTCGTGGGTTCAAGTTTTGTTGCCATCTCTACTCCTCTAGCTCAACATCGACTTCCTCATAACTCGAACTCTTTCCAATCATAGTTTGAAGCAAAGCTCCCATATGAACCATTTGTGCTGCAAGCTGTTTCATGTCGTCTGCAAAGTTTGGCTCCATGGTTGGTATCTTCGTTGTCTTCCTTACCACTGTGTTGAACCGGACTCTGATACCACTTGGTACGAGCACAAAATCGACACCCGTAGTTATCACAATCACACAGCTAAAATCTTTTAAGGGTCGTTTGGATCAAGGATTTTAAAACGAGTAATTTGAAGCTCAAATCTCTCATTAAAAACCCTAGTAATTTAAGTGTAAGATTTTGGTAAAATAACGTATTTGGCAATAGAGGAAAGATTTTAATAAAAAAAATTACAATTACAATTTTACCCAAATTCCTAACTTATCTTCTACGCTGGGTCTGTTCTTCTTCCCCCTTTCCTCTTATCCAATTTCTGTCTTCTTGAACCAAAAATTGTGAACTCCCCGACACTCATTGAACTCGTCATCGCCGGCAGGAGGCTTGCATGTCAACTGGGAAGGTTAAAGGCAACTGGGCAGGTCGAAGGCGTATGATGATGAGACACGGGAGGCTTAGCGATTTGGAAGGGATGACGTGGGGACTGGGGAAGGTCAAATTTCGATGGCAACTAGACTTCTCCTGGATCGTCCTTGTTATTGCTCGCTGTCATCTGCGGAGGGAAGAAGGAAGAAGCTAAGATAGAGGACAGATGAGAAAGAAAGACGGGTCGCAGGGTTGAAGTTGAACGAGGAGCCCCTCGATTTGTCGGAAAGAAGACGTGTTTCTGGCGGCAGAAGTGAGAAAATGTCGGCAACGTCGGGATCAATTGGGAGAGAGACGGAAGAAGAAAAGGAAAAAGAAGGTTGCTAGTCTCGTACAGGGGAGATGGAAGCAGGCAAAGGGGTATGGTTTGGGAAAAAAATGAAATAAAAATGAGGGATTTGTAAATAGATGATGGTGGTAAGCTATTTCAAAAACACATGTTTGAAGTTTTTTAAAATTCCTAATTGCAAAATCCTTCATGTTTATCAAACGCAGAAATGTTTAAAATCCTGCACAATGAGAGATTGTGATTAAAATCCCTCATAAAAAAAAACCTAATCCAAACGACCCCTTAGAGCTTTCTGAACTTTTCTCAACAACATAAAAAAAACTAAAAGGATAAGGTGAAATTGAAGTGCAATCGCACACCTGGGAGAAGGCTTTATCAATATAAGGGTAGAAGCTCGATCACAATCAAAATGGATGCTTGATTGATATAGAGACACACTCAACGCAAATTGAGTCCACCAATAATGAGAGCAAAATTCACAAGCCAAAAACTTGATGAACTAGGGTTAAATTTCAACAATAATCAAAGTCTGACCTAAAACTCGTGTTTAAACCTTTATATAGACCAAAGAAACAAAAACTAATAAAAAATCTGAAAAGAAAACGAATTCTAAACAAAAAAGGTAAGTTTACTCGTTAGTGACTATTCCACGGTTTGCCTTCCTGTTCCACGGTCGTGGAATTGATGTCCTTGGTCGGGGAACTCTTCTGCCCAACATGAACGAGTAAGCGTCCAAAGTAGGCACCTTGAAACTGTTTCGGCACTTTGCCATTTTCAACTCGCCATTCCTCCAAAAATAATCACTATTTTGAACGCTTAGGAATTGACATTCATGATGACTATCTTGCTCACATCATATTCGTTCCAAATCAAATGTTGATTTAGTCTGGCCAGACCATTGCTCATCCCTAGCAATTAGACTAGAATGCAGTGGGAGTAGGGCTGACTAGTGGTTATGAACAAAAGTTAGTCATAGTCTAAGAGCCTATATTTGTTCAGGCCTGCCAATAGTGTGGTTGCATGCAATATTACATCAAATAAGTAAACTTTAATGTATAGGATCCATTGTGCGCAAAATTTGAATGAAGAAAGCAATATCAAATTGTTCAGTGGAGGAGAAAGTAGAGCATGTCATGAGTGGCTTGATTGTGTTTTTTATCAGTACCCACACAACGTCATTCAAAGATTTTGCGTATTTTTATGGTTCCTCTGGCAAGAGTGCAAAAATAATTGGTAAAATAAAGCAAAGCTCTAAGATAATGATGTGGCACAATGGGTGGCATGATGGATCGATGACTATTTGGAAGCTATGAAGAAAATGGATCGAGATCTGTATGTCCCGATCTCCAATTGTAATCATTGGACTGAGACGGACCACGAGATATTCAAATTGAATATTTATGCTAGGATGATCAGCAATGAGAGTGTTATTGGGAGGAGTTCCTCGAGACGACAAAGGCAATTTCATCTTTGGTTTCTCAAGGTGGGAGAGAGGGAAGTGCAACGAAGGTAAAGTTGAGACGTTTCATTAATATATTTTTTCCTCAGTAATTAGCACTTTCCATTAAACTCTCTTGATCAAGGTGACCAAGCATCCTAAGAAAAACTTGAAAACATTCCACATTTCAGACCGCATACAAGGCCCAAAACTACTTACAATAATCCGTTAAAAAGAGCAAATATTGCACCTTAAATAGATCATTCCGACCTAAAGAAAGGAACAAAAAATTGTTTTTGAAGTGAGTAAAAAGGTTATGGATTTTTCCAATAATAGCATCTATTAAAAAAAATTACAAAAATAGCACCCATCCCACAACATTTACAAAAATAGCACCATTTTTATCAAACCGCACCTCCAAGGTGCGTTTTATAAATAAACCACACCCTCTAGGTGCGTTTTATGTATAAACTGCACCTTGGAGGTGCGTTTTAGTCCACCTCAGACTGAAAACCGCACCTTGGAGGTGCGGTCA